CGGTATTCACTATATCTGGGTGTCAATTCTGTTCACTCTGCTCTCTTATTCCTTGCAGTACATGTACGCGTTCAATATCGTGCCCTTGGTGTCCATGGATAAAAACGAACTTGTCAAACAGCCACCAGATGTCACGGAGTGTCCTTATAACAGGTTAAGTGGCAGCAATGTGAACACAGCTGACCAAAATACTAATCTACAGTCTCAGGTGACCTCTCAAACCTTACTGGATAATTAAGTAAAAGTAAGACTGTAATGCGTAAAATCCTCAGGGACTTGTCACATTTAGTCGTTGCATATTCTAGTAATGAAGTACGGCAGTGTGCGTTAACACAATGTAATAAAAAAATTAATGTCAATATTTTTACCTGCGGATGAAAAACAGGTGAGGAGGCGAGCTGCAATAACAGTAATAATGATAAATTGAAACGAAGCCAGAAAAAATTCAGGGTCGGACAGGATTCGAATCCGTGCCTCCATGTAGAGCCTAATTAGAAACTTGGAGGCACAGGTTCCAGTCCTTAACGGGAACGAGGAATTCACCAAAATTTTCCTCGCGTTCATCATGAATAACAGTTCAGAAACGTCTAGGTGTATTTTGGTAAATTTCACTGTAGATTATTGGCTCACAGACTCTCAAAGGATATCTTTTTGTATTTTTTAATACAAAAAGACTTAAGTCTAAATGGTGTCTACTTGTTTTATTGCAGGCCAGTGCCACAGGTCAGAACTTCTTTTTTGATATGAGTAACACAGGGAAGTCACAGGGACCTGGACAAAAACGACGAAGGGATCATGGTATCTGAAAATATATATAATCTGCTCTAAATTACAAGCCGGCCTTTTAGATTAACAGATATTTCTGCTAAGCACGAGGCACTTAGGAGTCTTCAACCCTTCTATCCCACCCCCTCCCCCCTCCCCCAGGTTTCGTTGACAGATCGTTGGAACTGACTTGTATCACCAGCATCATATCCCCGCAACCCGCAAGGGCTCGAAGCCGTACTGCTCAAATGCTGAGCATTGGACAAATCTCTTTCCCCGTACATTTTGTTTGTAGCTCAGTAAATTCCCTTTTAGTCAATTGGAATGCAACTTCTTAACTAATACTCGAACCATTTTTTCCGCTAACCTAGCTTGTACTTTGATCTTACATTAGGAATTCCGATAGCTTACAGTTTCGATTTGTTAAATTTTCCAGTCATTTACCCTAGTCTCGTGAATTTTTACAGGTGGCGAAGAAGGCGGTTCCAACAAACAGCCAAGACAACGTAAAGGACCACGTAAGTATGATCCCTTTGATTATTGCGATGTAGGAAAGAACGTGCTCTATTGGAGCAATACAAGACTTAAGCTTTTTCTGAACACAAGGGGGCTGTTAGATTTCGAAACAGTTGCACAGACCCAAGGCGCAGTCGGGGATTGGTTTTGAGAATTCTCCCAAACTCCCCCATTCCCCTATTCCCCCATCTCCATATCATATTCACTTTTATAGGAAACAATTTTTCATCTATTTGCACGAGATTTTTGGGACTAACGTCGCATGACTCATTTTGGCTTCTTTCCGTCCTCGTAGTCTTGAGGTCAGGTTGATCTAAGTGCTTTGAACTTCTCCTGGCTTTGGATTTGAACGCTTGGCCATATTTACTTTTTTTTCCTTTAGCTCCCTTAAAAGGTTCCTGTTGGTTCTGCCTGGGAAGTCCTGAGGTCGAGAAACATTTGGTTGTCAGCGTGGGAGACGCTGTAAGTATGTTTCCGCTCAGAAGTCTCACCAGAATCTCTGACGCGACAAATTTTGAATAACGTGCAAGAAAAGTCCGTTCAAAGGCGAAACTTGGAAAACTTACGAGACTTACGAGACAAAATGTTTGTCAAAGTGTTGTGGTTCTATAACGTAAAACAACGGGAAAGCGCTTCAATAGACGTTAGATATGATTTTAGACCATGATCAACATAAGTACCTCCCCCAACAAAATGAATTCAACTTTTGATATGATTCTCCATTTGTCATCAGTCGTACGTGGCGTTGGCTAAAGGAGGTCTGGTAGCTGATCATGTATTGATCTGTCCCATCGCGCATTTCGAATCAACAGTTAAATTGACAGAGGTAGGAAAGACCTTTTGACTTCTATTTCCAAACCACGATTTAGATATAGCAACGCATGAAAGGCTGTTGAAATTTCAAGTATTATGAGCTAAAAGAAATTACTCAACGAAAAAAGGTGGTGCGGCCTTTTTTAATTTCTAACGTTTTCGATAACGTAGCTTTCGAGAAAAAGATTGAGCAATCAGATATTAAGTTTCCATGAGGACTTGTCCCTAAGGTTACGCCTCCCAAAAAGCTTAGATATTTAGCTGAAAAGGCTGTAGCTAATCGTGAGTCGCAAATTTCGTCAACAAGGACAACCTATTCGTGATTG